GCAAGGGTGAGTCCATGGGTGAGGTGTTGCATGGTTCGGGACGTGAGGCAATGTGGGACAAAAAATAGCCCAGGCAGGGTCAGGGGTAGGAACAGCACAGCCCTGGGGCTGGGACCAGTGTCTGGGCTTTCCCAGCCCTGGGGCTGTGCTAAGAATGAATATAGACATTAACTAGATTAGGTTAACCCCTTCCTAGATGGGGTTAACTCTTTCTCATTCTAAATTAGATTGAGGTGAACTAATTTAGATTGAGTGTTTTGTTTTTTGGCCAAATTTAAAAACTCTGAACACCCGCAGGAGTAGGCATTTAGACTGACCTAACCCTGGTTAGGACAACGTAATTGCAACACTTGTACATACTCATACATGCCTGTATGCAAAACAATATTTTTTGGCATATCAATTTTTGTTACAACTTTTTATATAACCTGGCTCTTTTTATTTAAGCTCCGATATGCTAGTATTTGTGAAATGATTACTTTGCATCTTTTTATAGCTTGTTCTTATTAAAAGACTTCTATGTACATTTCTTAGAAATCCTGTGCACATTATTTTTCTAGATAAAGGCACGACATTAACTATATAATTTAAGAACAACAATAATCTTCTGAACACCTGTTTGTTATGAGAAAATGTAAAAGATTTAGTATGTTTTTAAAAAATATTTCAGTTCCAATAGTTTAAAAATAATGTTTTATTCTTGTGTTAAAATACTTTTAAAGTTATTAACATATGACCATATCTACAAAGTATGAATAGTCAGCCTTCATACTTTTAAAACATTTGCTGTCTGACATAACCTTTATAATGGAAACAAATCCACTGTAATGCACATAGCACGTAATAAAATCTCCCCACATAGTAAACTTAACAGATCAATGTATATTAACTGAAGCAGTTATAAATAAACATTCCCACTGACCTGCAATAGAAAGTTCTTCCCGGCCCATCAACACATATGCCTCCATTGAAGCAGAGGGTTGAGTTCAGTGAAGGTTCACTGCAAACATCAATATCTACTTCACAAAATGCGCCGGTGTATCCACTCAGGCAAATACAAACAAATGCACTGACCAAGTCTTGACAGGATCCTCCATTTATGCAGGGAGCAGACTCACATTCCTGAAAGAGATAAATAATAATACATTGACAATTTAGCTTTAAAAGCATGATTCTGTCCATTCATATCTATAACTATAGCAAAAAAAACTGATTTAAAGTTTCAAATGATCAGGAGAGAAGAGATTTTGATCAATTAGATTTGCCTAGACACTCTGTATTTATATGTACTTAACATCCAACTAGGAAAACACGTGTGGTTCCATTAATTAACACCTGAGAAAGGTGAGCACCCTGTCTTTTGCACATTTTTTCTTCACAGTAAGAAATGTCTTCCTGCTCATAAATCAGCTCTTAAAATCTTAAAAGATAAATCTGTACCACAATTTATACAGTACTTCATATCTATCTGGGTTCTTATACTGATGCCTGTAAATATCATAACAGTTTTGGGAATCTTCAAATAGAAGGTACTGTATAGATATAAGTGTTATTAATTTTACACAGCCAAATAGGTAGGGTTTCATTAGGACTATGTCAAATGTGTTTCTGAAACCCAGGATAAACATACACTGTACAGTATCTAGTGCACAAGGCTATATTCCTGTTTGTTAAATATTGCCTAGGGATATGAACTTCCAAAATTGCCATTTATTGTAGGCCTTTACAAATACAAACATGTAGCATTTTTTTAATTCATTGCATAATCACAATTTACTCTGACAAAGCTAATGAAAGCCATCAGATTCATACCAGTTGAACCAGGAGCAAATTAATGTTTTGTCAAAATTACAGGAGAATTTAATTAGTATAATTGCTAATATGAAATAGATTTGCTCCCTTGAGCCCAGAAAAGCAATACTCACCTAGATCCCATAGGGGTTTTGCTTTGTTGCACCCACCCAAGTGGTCGAGCTAAAATAAATCCTTTAAAAGTAAATTTATTTTCATATTAGTTGTATTTTTTCTAGATGGGTTGTTTCCTTAAGAATAACCAAGGGCACTTAGTAGATTTCCTGCAGGTACTGCAGTTACTTTGACAGAATGCAAATTCATATATCCACAGGGAGCTGTATGAAAACAACATGTTTTCCTATCAGCTCTACAACTGGGTATATATAGGATGATTTATTAGAGAGCATTACATAAACTAATTGAATTATATATCCCATAGGAAGGGGGGGAGGGAGGTTAGTTTTGAAGACTGCCAAAAGTAATGCATCTTGGGCCTAGAAATTAATTAAAACTAGTTAATGGGAAATATAAAAGCAATTTATTAAAGAATTTCAATTGCTATTTGATTTTTTTTTCTGTACAAACCCCCCCCCAAAGTCCACCTATTTCCCATTTTTCTTTATTTATTCATATGCTCTTGCATCTGTTACTTCTAACAATTTTTAGCTTTGCTCACTAGCATATAATTGCTATAGAATTAAAGGAGAAAAAGAAAACAGCTAAAATAATAACTTCAAAGAGAAAACATTAAAAAACCACTGTGAAATCAACATTAGAAATCCATCTAAAGCTAAGCAACTCTCAAATAAGTGTTTAAGCTGAATATACAGTTATAGTCATACCGTATTTTAAAATTACAAAGCTGTTTTATAACATTGTTTTGTACAATAAGAAGCTCTTATAGACCTCCAGACAAATGTCCAGAACATGGTATTTGAAGTGATGGGGGGAAAAAATTAGGAAGGAAAAAAGAAAAGAAGTTCAGCTTTGTAGAAGAGAAACTGCACCAATTACTGCTCTGTCAGATCCTAGATTTTTTTAATGAAACGTTTTGGTGCACTGCAGATAAATGTTAATGATTCTTGAACAAATAGCAAACATTCAGCATGTTCCGCTACTATAGAGGTGCTGCTTATTACTATTCTGAACTAAGACAAGAAAGTTGTTTCAATGATTTGGCACATAACTGTGTTCCAAGTCATATAAATAAATGCTTCCTCCACTGGGTAGGCTATCATAATTCCCTTAGGAGTTAGAATTTGCAATCAGAGTTAGGTGGTTAACTGCACTTCCAACATCCCTGTAGCCAAAAATGAACCTTGTTTTCAGCATAAAAATGGTACTTTTTAAAAAACCTTTACGTATTTAACATGCACATGAGCTAACCTAAGGCAAAAACAAGGGCTTAGAAAGCCTTTTAGTTTTATTGTGAAGAAAATTAAATAAGGTCAGCCCCAGCCAGAGATCTCACCAGATTTTACCTCATTTTAACCTTAAAGATCTTTTTCTTCATTTTTTTCCCCCTCAGGATAGCTCATAGATGCTGGCTACTCACAGATAAAATGCATGGATTTAGCTATGAAGACAAGACTCTGGTTTCACAAGAAGCTCTACTGATATTTGCAGGATCACTTGTCTGAGTCAGGTGAACAGAATTTACTACTACTGCTGAAGTCAATGAGAACACAACCACCATATATGCCCTCCGAGCTTTCCAATATTTTGTTTGTGGGTATAAAATATATCCTTTTTTAATGTTGACTCAGAACTATTCATGTTGCTTGATTCATTTTGTAAGCCTGCAGTCAATTATGACAAAGGTTTACATACAATTATTTTCAATAATGTTTCTGTTTTCTGATAGCAGAAAATGGGCATGTCCTAAGTGCCTTGCAGCTTACACAGTTCCTTACAGATAGAGAACAAATGAAAGGCAGGAACTTTCTATGCAGGCATGTCAGAGCAAGGCATGATGTAGCTATACAAATGGGTTTATCGCATAATAAGTGAATACCTTTCTCTGTTTAAAGTATTGGTACAAGTCACATTTCCACCTGCAAACAGCTGCATAATTTTAAAGTCTTTGAAGTTCATTCCAATCTGTGGTTAGCATTTCATACCTGGAATTAGTTTAGGGGTTCTTGCTACTCCTCATTCAATTTCCAATTTAAAACTAAGTTTTGAATTCACCTGAAATGAGAAGATTGGGACAGGAGGGAGGCAGTAGCGCTGAAACAATTATGGTGCTAAAGCAGTCAACCCATTCTAGAGAATAGAGTTTACATCATTTCCACACTCCAAGAAACCAGGAATAAGTAAGAACTCTATCTACAGCAGCCTGGTCAACAAGTGGACAAACAAACTCTAGGGTTGCCAGTTTTTCTTCTGCAGGGATATATGAAAGATGACCATGATTGTAGCTCTGGGGGGCGGGGGGGGAAAGGAGAACATGCAGAAGTCTCAGTAAATTGGAATCATGCTGGCAAATAACTGCACACAGAAACCAGTTAGAGAAGTCAAAGGCAATGGTGGTGATAAAATTGATGCTTAGGACATTAAAAAAAGCTTTTGAAATGCCACTGCTGCTGCCAGTACCAAAAGTAATGTCCCACCCTCCCTCCACCCTGCACACACCATTTGTATTACTAGGGATTTTCAGAATTCTTCACCCTCTGCTTAATAGGAAGCAGGTAGGAGGTTTTCTCGAGGAAGGTGAAGGAGTTATCCCTTCTTGTCCAGAATCACTCCATATAGTTTCTCATCTTTATAAAAGCCTGTTGATAACTTTATAGAACAATTAGAGATGCGGTACAGAGTTTTCAAAAGCAAAGGCCCATATCACAGAGATACCTAAGGTACTTATAATTTGAATAAGAATTAAGGGTCTTAATAGTATTGGATTCCAGATCTCAGAGAACTTAGGTCAGTGGCATTCATTACAGTCCAGTTCTAAACACGATGGCTTCTTGCAGACATGGGTGGTAAATGGGCACTTTAAACTAA